CCGTTTTCACTTGGACATTAAAAAGTTCATTCACTCACTTGGACCTCACTTCTCTGCTGTGTAAACACGTATATTATTTCCCTTTGGAAAGACCAAATGTGTTGTGTTGTTGTTTTTATTTTTGGCGGGAGGCAGTGCTGCACTTCCTGTGAAGAAGAAGAAGAAGAAGAAGAAGAAATCAAAACACACAACAAGTTTATTCCTTGATGTGCTCCAGGCAAAACGAAATCATCTTTCAGGCCGCGTGGACAAAGCCGGTTTACACTATTTGAGAACCAGCTGAGTGAGTACAAACGTGCACGTACTTCTGCTCGTGCAGAAGAGGCCAGTGGAGCAGGCGGACCTTCAACGTGGCCCAGGACACACGTGCGTTCACGCTGCTGAATGAATGTGAGACCACCTCCCAATGTGGTCGGATCTCAGATGCGTCCTCAATGCGTCTTGGGTGCGTTCACACCTGAACTTAGAGCTGTCCACTTGTGACCGGATCACCTGAGACGAGTGTTACTACCACAATTCACTATTCACTGCAAATGAAGACAGTACATCATTTTCTGAACAGTAAATCCGTCTCTGTACATCAGACATATAAACTGACTGGGGCCATTTAGCATAACGAGTAGTTTTACTTTTGCTAACAATGCTTCTGTAGTTTCATTTGCAAGACTTGTGAGGGAGCATGTTAATACTGTGGTACAGCTCATTAATCATTACTATTAGATAGATATTATAATTCTAAACTAAGTTAATAGACTCCATCTTAACTCCAGTTTGCTCATCGGAGCGAGTGCTACTCTGCCTGTGGAAACAGTTGTACAGTATCGTGTCTTCTGTGGCTCCACAGGAACTTTTTCCAAAGTTTTTTAAATGAATAACCTTCATCATGTCATATTGGTGTCATCAGGGCGTCTCGGCCTGGGCTTCAGACTTTTCATCAGAAAGTTTGGAGTAGAAAAGTTGAGTTTGAAAGAAGTGGGCACTTTGGAGGCAGCGGGGAGTCTACATGGAGTTGAATTATGGGAAATGTAGGAGCCAGTGTCTGTGGGGTTCAATATAGAGACGAAAAGTGCACAGATCTGTTCCTCATGAGCTCGATACTAAAGACTGGAGATTCCCTTTAACTTGTCGTTACTCTGCCGTTGATCAGATTACTGAGGTAAGACACAGTGGCTTGTATAATTTTCAGTTGTTTAACTTAATCTTTCTATTTTGCAACTGATTTAATTATGTGTGTCAACATCTTTCCATTGTGCTTTTAAATGAACCGCAAGTTTGCACAGTTTTCCATTTAAAGACATGAGAGGTGGTGTGTGTGTTTCTGTGTGTGCACTCACACTTCTTACTTGCTGAGTAAACGCTTTCTTGACATCTTCCACACAAATGTCTCCATTTAACCGTCTTGCTTCACATTACAACCGCTGTGACTTTCTAAATGACCGTGTGGCGAGATGTGAAGTTAATGATCTTTAGTTCTGTAGCTTCCACTGACTGCCCTCTGCTGTCTGAACGTGTCAGCTGCTTTGGTTTGTGCAGGTGTGGTCGGGCAGAATGAGAGGACGAGCTCCGTGTTTAGACCAAGTTTCACGGATTTTGCACCCCGTTGAAACGAACAGTAAAAATCATTAACGAGCTAACTCGTGACAGCATAATAGTCGACAGAGTGAGGAAGACATTGTAGTTAATGAAGCTGTTGTAAGTAGTTGGAGGTGGGGGCTGAATAAGACACGATCATCTCTCTGATGCATTACTCAGGAAAAAACAAACTACATCTGATCAGATGAGAAACAGAGGAGAGGGAGAGAGCTGGGACTATTTCCAACCTTCATAAAAGTATTTGTTTTTTTGTTTTTTTTTACAACAGTAACTGAAGCAACCTCTAGTGGGGCTTCCTTAAGGCTCCACACCCAACTCTTTCAGACAGGAATAAAAAAAATAAAAAAAAGTAAAAAAAAAAAAAAAAAAAAACGATGATTTTCTGGGTAATTAGTTTGTCTAGACAGTTTGGAAAGAAGGCACTTAAAACACATCTTTCCCCACAGATGCAGAATGCACTGTGCTTTTTTCCTTCATGGTCGCACCTGGAGATTGTGCGATGAAAACAAAATCATCGGGACTAAAAATACTGACACTCCCATAACACTTTCTACTGGCAATCATCGCGGTTTCGGGAGGCTGATGGAGCACACACGAGGGTACTGACGCCAAATAAGACGCTCTACAGAGGGAGTCTGAAATCCTTTGTTGTGACGGCCTGGGAACAGCGGGGTCAGACGTTCATGGAAGTGATTTCAGTCTCAATTCATTAAGTTTAAGTTTATTATTCCTATAATAAAATATCTATATCTTAAGCAATCCGCACGATAATGTCTAAAAAACTGTAGATAGAACTTTTGTGGAGGACTGCGACGTCTTCTCGAACACTGAACTTTGATCTAATGGCAAACAAATGTAAGAAATCACTGCAAAATGTGTTTAAAACAAAGATCTACGAGCAAAAGATTGTATGTGACAACTCTATCAGTGTTGCTTTAGAGGAACAGAGTGTGGAGAACATGTGGAAATAATTGAATGCATTTACTTTCCTCCGTGTGGACAGAGGACGGTTCGACTCTTTCTGAGGTGTCTTATTTGTTGAGGTCCGCTCAGTGAAAAGTCTTTCTAGCAGCAGAGACTCAGACTTGGAGAATCATCCATGACAACATCAAACAGATGAAGAGATGTGATGTGGCGTGCTGCTGCCTTGAACCGTCTCTATGAAGGGTGCACACTGACATCAAGTGGTCAGATGACAACTGTCAGAGGACGAATCAACAGATGCTGTGCTGACTGCTCACACTCACACAACGTGGACAATAACACATCTCAGGCAAAGAGTCAAGTAACGGTCAAGTGTCATTATTGTGACCGCTTAAAAAAAGCAGCTGAAGTATACTGATGTGTTGATGTGGAGGAATGTAGTCATCTGTATTTAAATCAGAATATACGACACAGAGACTTTTGGGCTTTATGAGCCTCGACTACCAGCGCTGGACGCCACATGGATGATGAATTACAAGTGTTTCTGACTTTGTTGTCTTTGCTAGCAGCTGTTGCGCTGTTAAATCAATTAGATAGATAGATAGATAGATAGATAGATAGATAGATAGATAGATAGATAGATAGATAACAGTACAACTTATGAGACAGCAAACATTGGACTTAAATTCATCACGTGGCCAGAAACACGAGAAGCTAATGTTGCGTCCTGTCTGCTGGTTGTGTAGAGCGAACTAGAGCGAGGAGGTGATTAGCTCTGCTTAGCATAAAGGCTGGGAGCAGGTGAAACAGTGAGCCAGCTCGCACCTTTAAACGCATTACATCAAGTTCGTCTCACAAACATACAACCAGAAATGTTAAAAAGGACAAGTTGTGGTTTTTATCAGGGATTTGTGAGTTGGAAAACTTTCCTTAGTGACCAGCAGCCAGGTGCAATGACTTCCAGTCTTTAACGCTAAACTAAGCTAAGCTAAGCTAAGCTAATCGCCTCCTAGCTCGAGCGCCCTACTTTGCACACACACTCTCTATCCCTTTAATTTAAAGTAGTCCAGACGTGTCATTAGGCGTCCTCTATCACTTCCAGTCATTTTGAAAATCAAATGTAAAATCAGCTGATTTCCTCACCCTGACCTTTAGTACCTTTTCTCCCACTCTGATTTTGTGATGCGGAAACAAAGTTTTGTGTACTGCTACAACTGGCAGGAAGGATTCATTTTCATTTGTACATGTACTCACTGATCACTTTCTGCCAGAAATAAGACAGAATGACCTAGACGGAAAAAAGAAGACACTTCCTGAGGGAGAGACAGAGAGGAAGACAGGGAGGGAGAGAGACACAGAGAGGGAGGGAGGGAGGGAGCGGTGAAAGATGAAGACAGAAAGAGGAAATGTTTGAGGCTCCAGTCTTTCTCATTTGAAACCGTCTCTTTACTGTTTGACTCCCGGGTGGCTTTCACAAGCATTTTATGTATAATTTAACGTAATGTGCAGAGATAAAGCCTCCAATAAAGGCTGCACTCTCTAAGCTCTTCACAGCACATTTCGTTTTATTCATCAAATTAGTTTTAGTTGGTTTGGTATCCCCTGAGCCGTCTTTAAAAGGTTTAGATGAAAGGACTACATTAATTTTGCCGCTAATCAGTTAAGTGACAGCTCCAAGTGACAGCTATGCACTCCTTATCCCCCAAAAACCTCTCCGCGCACTCGTCTGTGCGCCGCGCCTGCTTCAACTCTGCCGCTCAGACTGTCCCCGGTTGATCTCGTCTACCCTGCGCCAGCCCCGCCGCACGTAACCCCCTCTCACCCCGCCACACAGCCTTCTGATGGCTGCCCTCAGCTTCCTGTCACTGTTTTCACTGACAACACAAATCACCTCGAACACTTTCTTCATTCTTCACTCAATCATTCATATTCTTGCCATCTTTGAAATTCATTAAAAAGGGGCTGAGCGTGTTGCATTTTTCATCACGTCGTCAAATTTCTCAATACATTTGTTACATAAAGAATGTGTTGCATGATACAATACTTTAACAAAGTTAGGAAACCTTCACGTACTAGCAAAAACTGTGACTAGGCATGTTTTATGGCAGAGCTTAATGGTTAATCATGAGGCAAAAGGGATTTTTTTTTTCACAGGGAATTTTGCTTTTGTGAAGCAAATTGGAGCATGGAGCAGATAATTAGGGCTAATATTTGTAATTCTCAAAGTAGGGTTTTTATTTTTTAATTAGCAACTAAACTCTACAAAGAGAAATTCTTGAGCAGACTTACTGAAAATTACTAAAAATGAGACAGGACACCAGAGATCCAAGGCTTTCACTGTTCAAACGCCAGTGAATTTGTGTCTGGAGTCAGAAGTTTCCTGGTTATTCTTCCCCAACACAAATCACAGCACGTTGAGGTGGACGAAAAAAACGAAAAAGGCAGAAGTACAGTGTTTAACTAAAAGAAAGGGGGGGACCTACCGGAGAATGGAGCGCTTTGGGAAGCTGAAGGTCCCGTGGGAGATGCGGTCCACGAAGTTCAGCGGGATCCTCTGTAACTGCTCACAGCTGAACATGACAAAGTCGTACTTGCAGACCAGGAGAGAGTTGTCTGTGATCAGAACAAGACGCTCCTTTTCATTGTTCCAGTGATCCACCCTGATAGAAACAAAACAAACCAACAAAAAACAACAACAGAGAGACAGTCAATGCAGTAAATTAGTTTTATGTTTATACAATACACCGTCACACAGTACAGGACGTATCTGTGTGTGGACGTCTGACGTCTTTCAAAAAGAGACTCTCCTGCATGTGTGTGTGTGTGTGTGTGTGTGTGTGTGTGTGTGTGTGTATACAGTGTGTAAGGTGTTGCTATACCATTCATTAGGTACAGCTAGCTCAAACAGACGCAGTCCAGTGCAATCCACCCTGTCTGTAGTAATGAGGGTAGAAACACCTGTGTTCAATGTGACACAATGTGTACCTAATAAACTGCCACCTGTGTATATTTCAAATGTGGAGTAATGGTTTCCAACCAATGGTTTACCGGTTATAACAAGTTCAACCAAAGTGTAATCTGCATTTCTTTTTTTGAAGGTAAAATTATCGAGTAATTCACAAGGTTTTAAAAGGAAAAGATTGTGTGCAACAGATTTCCTTCCCTGTTAATCATCAGTGCATCTCAACCTTGGGGTTTGGACCGACTGTTCAGCATGTTTTTGTGAAATACTGAGTATTTTTTCCCTCCACAGGCCTTTGAATGAAACAATCTACGGAGAAGATTCACTTTTTGCACTTTCTGAACCGCTCACAGCTCAAGTCCACACTGAGGCATAACCTGCGACGGGAGGTTGCAAGTCGACTTGTGTTAAGGCCGGAGTTTTCAAGGGGCCTCCAGACAAAAACTGGAACATGAGAAACATGTTGTTGAGACTTTCTGAACCTTAAAAAACTATGTTGATAGTACAATGTAAAATACACATGAAATAGGTTGAGATAACTGGATTTTGTCACTTCTATTCAGGGGAAAATCATGCTGTAAGTTTTAGAACTACAATTCCCATCATGCTTTGAGGAGTGTAAAAAGGAATTTGTTTACATTTTATCAGTTTGGCTCCATTAAAAGTAAAACAGAATCAGAAGTTCCTTTGATAGTGAAGAAGACCCACTGATCTACTGAGCCCTCAGGTTTGTCTCGTCGCCCCTCGTGGGGGGACGCAGCGTCGAGAAGCTGCTGCAGAGAGTGATCCTCACTGCGTATGTGGGTCTTTGTGTGAATCGCAGTTTGGATGTTCGTATTCTGCAGGTTATTTGAAGTTAATACAAAAAACATGTATAGCAAAGCTGCTCAATTATCTACTATAAAAGCTACACAATTTCCAAAAATGCCCTTGGCAACGATCATGCAATATGCATGCAAACATTTCCAAGTCTCTCAATTTTTCCAAAAAAGAAGGAAAGAAAGAAAAAAAACAAATTAACAGAAACACCTTTAAAGCAACAAATCTGACTCTACTTTCTGCTTATGCCCTCGAAGTGTGTCCAAAAATGTCTGTCATGTTAACTGAAGTCACAAAAAGCATCATTTCGCACAGACTTTCTCCCTCACTGCTGCGCACACGAACTAACTAACTCACGGTGGCGTGGATTCTCTTGGAGTGGCTCTGTTTCTTACAGCCCGCTGAGCCGGCTGCACGTGGCCAAGTCCAACTGCTGCTGGCAGCCAGAGGCCAAAATCCATAAAAAAAAAAAAAGAAGAAGAAGAAGAAGAAAAAAAACAGTTCACTGAACAACCCTTCATGGGGAAGGTGTGGGTGAAGAGCTTTGACTGTACTAATGAAATGAGTTAACCTTGACTGGCGTCGTGGACGGTGCAGAGGTGTTACAGACATCCAGGATCACACTGACGGAGCTCGAGCTCGACACAACAACACAACAACACAGCAGGACGTCAGGACGAAGACACCGAGGCCTGGAGGGATGTACCTCTGCAGGTGCTTAAAGGAGCAGCTGCAGATTCAGATTTAGTGTACAGACGTAAGAGTGGTATGCATCTTCTCGTCTGACTTCAAACTGTTCCTTTCAATGAACTAGTATCTTCATTTGCTTTTTATTTTCTCTTTTAATCACATGGTCATCAACTGTTTCAGTCAATTCTTTTACATTAAAAATCTCTCAGAATGCAGGACAGGTGCAACCAAGGATATAAAAATTGTATTGATGATAAACACAATCTGTAAAAATGCATAAATAAAATATAAAATCAATAGCAAATGATAAAAACAAAAGCGGTCGAGCCAAAATCATACAAGGACATGAACTGAGATCAACCTATTCTTTCTAAAGCTAGCAACAATCCTCCACAAAGCCAGATTTGAGGAATTTCTCATGCTTTTCTGACATTAGTCACCGGCCTCCCTTGGGGACATTCAGCAGCAGCGTTGCAGGATTTCCATATAATGCACTCTTTCTGTTGCAAGAAATCGTACAGCAGCTTCTGTAGCAACGATAACTGCGGGCCAAATGTAGGACAAACATTAACGTGTGTTGGACAGAGCTGCATAAATGGGATGTATTATTCATTCTCACATGGCCAGCCTTTTAAATGTCTCCTGAAAGCTTGTGCAGGAGTGATATAACCTGACATCTGCAAGTGCACACGGTAAATGTCCTGCAGTCACTTCATTTTACCCTGTGTTCGAGTCAGTTGGATCACCACCTCTGCTTTGACTTGGGTTTGATAAGAACACTGACATTTGAGTGAAAGGTTAACTAATGAAAACATCTGGATGTGACAACACTAAGGCATCATGGGTCCGGACTGTAGTATGTTATGTATGTGCAGAATTAAAGGCAGTCGCTCTCCTCTGATGTGAAGCAGATCAGTGCAGTCATCCACTACAAACCGTATGTTAACAATGTATTATGAATGAGAGGCACATAATACTGTAAACTCACTGCGCATTTACAGTCGCATCAGTTCTGTCAGCTGAAAACCTTGTAACTCAACAATGTTATGTGCTTTTCAAAGTTTTCCAAAACAGAAAAATTTAGTTCTTATAAGCAGCTTATCAACAATTAATACATTTTTTTTGTATATACCAACTACAGTTGAAAAAATTAGTCGAATATTGATATTGAAAATATTTATAATGTATAATTTATAATTTATTAACCTTTTAACTATTTTTAAAGCAAAACTGACACAAATTAATCTGGTTTCAGCAACTCAGATGTAAATATTTGTTTTGTTTTTTTATCTTCAGTGATAGTAAACTGAATTTCTTTTGGGTTTTTTGACTGTTGTTTTAAAGCAACTTCCAAGTAGCAACCTTAAAGATCTGTTTCGTTATCTTTGGCGACACCTATGGCCACACGTTGTCATTGCAGGTTTGTTTTTGAATCACACCCGTGTGTTCCTCCTTGTATATCACGTATCACTAACGTTGTGTTGGTGACTCGTGTAATCGAGTCACACCAGATCCCCGAATCACAAAACTGCAAAATGTGAGGATTTCTATTTAATTTCATCAGGCTCAATCATAATTCGGTGATAGATAGTGACTTAAAAGACACTTGTGATCGCCATTTTTCATTGACAATATAATAACGCACAGTCGTAAATTCCAATTCTAATTTATATAAACATAAAAAATTAACGCTCTATTCATCATATAAATTCCATTATTTGAATTATTCATTTACTATTCATTTATTTCTAAATACAATCCCCAAAGCATCTAAGCAAACATCATCTGCTGATGAACGCCATGAGATGCAGCTAAAGCACCATGAAAAAATCTAGTAAGTGGCCCTTGAGTTAGGAGTATTTTGTCCATTTACTGTTTCCAAGGTCAAGAACGAACCTACAAACTCTACTAAACGGTTAATAAACGCTTCAACGTTCATGTGTGAAATTATATATCACTAAATGATTACAGATGTAAAAACTGTGTTATCAATCATTCTTTCATTTTTAAGGCACCAATTACTAATGCTTTAAGAACAGTAGGAGAAGTTGTAATTGTTAAAGAATCCATCAATCACTTAAGAATATCCTCATATATCCTCTTACAACCACATTATAGAGTGCTATAACTTTATTTAGTGTTTATATTCTGCTTATTAATGCTAAATATAGGGGGGGGGGAGGTGTCACTGTGTGTGCCACCAACAAGCCTAACGATAAGATTAACTGTTAATAAATTAAAAATACAAGCTTTTCATTTGCACACTGCATGTCAACATGAACACAAACAGAACATGGTGTCATGAACTCACTCTGCCATCAGCCAGATGCTGTGAATGCTGCCATCTACTTCTTTATCCACCAGGGCTTCAACGTCTTTGATGGCCTGATTCAGAGTGCCAGGCTGAGGAGATAGAAATGCACGGGTGTCACTTTCTAATTTTCCATTGTGACAATCACAATGTGTACACAGAAAGCTTAAGGGGTAATCTTTGAGGCAGATATGCAGCTGGGACTGGTACTCCAACAAAATGTCAGCGCGTCTGTGTGTCAAACAGAATAACAATAAACAAAAACACGAAGCCTCTGCATATGAAAATGACTGTAAATGAAGAAAGCTGAGCGTGCAGCTTCCATGTATAAATCTCAGTAACTCAGGTATTTGAAGACACAAGAGACAGCTCCAGTATGGAATACACTACGCATTCAAAAACATCTCTTGTTTTCCAGTGCAACCCAAACACACACTGCCACTTTTTACAACATGCTATTCTATCCTTGCTCTTTATGTTTTATTATTTCAATGCCAAGTTGAAGAACTTAAAGAGATTAGGAGTTCATACTTAGGACTCCTGACAGTCTTACTGTAATCTGAGCCTGGTGCTGAGCTGTCCTGGCAGCACAGGATGTGTGACTGACTTCCCATTGCAATCCAATACAACAGGCCTGCAATAAACACTACTTTGTGACACTGATAATATTCAGTTTATTGTTGACACTGTGTCATACAGGTGCTGATTCATGGAAATTATTGAGACTGTGCTGCTGTTTCACTTGACTCCATAACGTGTTGCTGTATACGCACACACAAGAGGAAACATAACAAGAAAACCTAAAAAAAAAAAAAAAAACATGTCATGTGGCGTATAGCGCAACGGATACAGGATTTCTGAGGCCAATGCCAGCACAGAGAAACCAAGATGTACAGAGCACTGAGCAGAAAATTTCACATTTGAAAAATAAACTATGAAATGCCAAGACAGTCTTTAAATCACCTCAGACATATTTTTGGAATTCCTGCACTGCATTTTCTTCTAATTTATTGTCCAGCATATACACAGATATTGATATACTTGCAATAAACTAATATTGGCGGATATATCGGCCCTAAAACAGAGTTTAATCAACACCTCTGCCTCATAAAAACCTCCTTTTACGTGTATTAGTTGCAGTTACGGTATCAAAATGAATTATTTTTGCACAATATTGTTGGCTTTAATCTCTACTAATGTATCATGTTTCATCAGCCCTTTAAACGTCTTGAATGAAACATTTTAACCAGCACAGAGGCAGTTTCAGGGCTGTTATGTCACTGTCTGTTGTTTAACTGTGACCTGCAAAGGTTGCACATGATAATTAACTAAGAATGCTAAGCTAACATCTATGTTTAACATTGTACATGGTCCCTTCCAATCTACAATTACCGCCTCGTGGTTGTTGCAAGAAATATGGTCACAATCTCCCCTTCCTGAGCTACAGCATGAGTGTTTTTGCAGAACATTATGATGTCACAGTGAAGTTGACCTTTGACCCTTTGGATGTAAAATGTCATGACTTCATTTTATCCTTATGGGCATTTGAGTTAAATCGTGTCATAATTAGCGCATGGAGTTAGTTAATAGTTAACCTGTTTTGTGAGGTCACAGTGACCTTTGACCTTTGACCATCAAATTCTAATCAGTTCATCAATGAGTCCAAGTGAATTTTTGTGCCAAATCTAAACAAATTCTCTCAAGGTGGTCTTGATACAACACATTAAAGGGGGAGAAAAGGTGTTTTGTGAGGTCACTGTGAACTTGACCTTTGACCTCTGGCAGCCAAAATCTAATAGGTTCATCCTTGAGTCAAAGTGAACATTTGGGCCGAATTTGAATCGTTACTGAGATAAATAAAAATCGAGAAGGGGACGGACAGATGGACGGACGGACAACCCAAAAACAATATGGCGTAATAAAACAAATAAATGACGATGCTAACAACTACGGCTAACAACTGAATGTAAGAAGCTCCGTCTCTGAGATTTATAAACATACCAAAATCGTAAATACTAAAAGTAATATTCAAAGTACGTACCTATGGGTTAGCACTTGGGTAAATGCACTGGGTTAAAGGAGCTATTTGTAGTGGTTTTGCTATCGCTAAATAGCCAACGTTAGCATTAACAACTGTCTCAAACTTCATTCCTTTACTCGCAGAGAGCCGTCTCCAGAGCTGGAAAGAAAGATTTAAGTTAACTCTTTTCTTCCTCTGAAGTTAGCATGCTAACCAGCTAGCCCCATCTCGTCACCTCCGGCGAGAGGTGACGAGATGGGGCAATCTGTCCTGAAGACAAAGCGTTGTCATTGTATTATAAAAACAAAGGTGGCTGAAGCTCCTGTCAAGCGACAAGCAGGAGAAAACCTACATATAGCACCTTTAACTACTCATTGCACAGGTGCGTCTCTTCCGGTGTGCAACTCCTGTATTGACCCAAAGGTAAGTGTTATCATAGCTGCACCTGACTGCCTCTTTGTTAGGAGGAAACGTAGAAGTCTTTACCCTCAGCACGAAGAACTTTTTCAGTCTGAATTCGTCCAGAGATGTCTCCTCGGGGAAGGCATCGTGCTGCTGGAAGCGGGCCGCTCCGCCTTCCGCTGCCCGCTCCTCGGTGGGCTCTGTGCGGGCAGCAGGCTGAGTGTACTCCGGGCCGCTGGAAGAAGGGCTCAGCTGCTGCTGCTCCTGCTGCTCCTCGGTGGGCGCTGCTTCCACCTCCACCTCTGCCTCTGCCATCATGCTGCTTCACAACACCTCTAAGACAGGATTAACAACACTGATGTGCAGCTATTTATTAACACTGAAACCGGTTTCTATCAGAGCATTTTTGACCGAGCCACTCAGTCCTCTTCTTCAGAGGTATAACTTCCCCAAAATCGAAACTCAAATCGCTCCACTCGCATTTACGCGCGATAGGAGGATTAAATCAGTTGGGCTCAAGGTTGTAGCTGATGGTAATAAAGATTTACTTACCACTAATTATCGAGGTCGCAGTGTGATATATTTTGAGAGTTGAGTAAATAGGCAGCAGCAACAGGTGCATAACTTCCTTGTTCCCGATTCCTGTCAAACATGTCTGAGGGCGTCAGCAGCAGCAGCAGTGACTCAAACCGTGCTGCACTGAACACAAAGGATTTTTATTTACTTTGATGATTGACATTTAATAAGAACACCTATAGGCTTATATGTTTCTGTTGCATGTTTTGTGCACAGTGTGGCATGACATTTCCCCCTGTGTTTCCACTCGCTCACACCACCTCATCAGTTTGTGACTGTGGTTGGTGACACATTTGCCAACTTTGTTTTGGTCGTACAAGTGTATACCTGCTGGTCTGTTTCTCCTTTCTTCCATGTCAATAGGTCAGTGGACTAAATAAGATAAAAGGAAACTAAATTTGACGATTTAAAAAGATGCTTTTAGATTTATGTCCCATAATTTCTTACCTGCAGCGTTTCAAATGAGTCTTTGACATTAATTAAGGATAAATATTTTGTAAATAGTTTCATAGTTAGAACTAATAGAACATTTTGAGAATCTTTTAATGAAAATATATTGTGCCTTATGTTATGAATGAGGGACATACAGCTTTCGATTAAAAAAAAAAAAAAGATTTCATGTGATTTGTGGAAGTGAAACCTGAAAGGAAAAAGGCTGTACCTGCTATCAGCACAACAACAGACCAAACAGCAGACAGACAGTTCGCAACTCGCTGGTGAAGATCTAAGATCTAAAAGAAGGATGCATATTGCACTAAGATTTCTAAGGTGACAAACCCACTGTATAAGGCAGCAGTTTGTGTCTTGCAGCTAAATTTGGAGTTCGTCAACCCCTAATGACGACATGAACAGTCAGTTTTAAGATTATCTTCATTTTGCCAGGTACCTCCCTCAAGGACTCTGCTTTTGAAACTTTGAGACTTTAGGATAACATTTTACATTTATTTTTTTTTAATTCATGCTCATAATTATTTTCTTCAAATCCAAACTACATGACTTTGGAAAACAATCTGTGTAGTGTCATGTTAACTGGAGCCTCACTGACTCAGGGGAATTTGCATAATCAGTCAGCACTACATTATGTGTTCTTGTAAGAGGTTATTTCTACCATCTTGAGTATTTCTTATAGAATATATTAGCTTGAATATACTACATATAATCTGTGTGTGTATATATATATATATATATATATATATATATATATAGAGGGAGAGAGAGAAAGCTTTTCTCGTTTCAGTGACCACTCAAAGCACTTTACCCTACAAGCTACATTCACCCATCCACACACACATTCATACAGGACTTTCTACCGTACACACGCACACACGCACACACACACACACTCATACACTGATGGAACAGCCATCAGAGGCAATTTACAGCATCTTGCCCAAGGACAGTTTGACACACGGACTGGAGGCGATTGAAGCACCCATCTTCTGATTAGTGGACGACTGGCTCCTGAGCCACAGCTGCCACTGGAAAATAAAGCGGCTGACTGTGGACATGACATTTTCAAACGCACGTTCAAATACATCGAGAATTTTCAATTGCTCTCACGTGTGTCATTTGTCATAGGTGTTGTGTTATCTCTGTTTAAGTATAGATTGTTGGGCGAGGACCATTAAATCCTACACACTAAATGAGTTTAGAATAACTAACAACCACGGAGAGACGTTTCAAATGAAATGTTTACCAGTTAGGCTCCACATAATGAGTTTGACCTTTCCTCCACAGTGAGGTTTAATTTGAACAAGGTTGGATTTAACACAGTGTGTGGATTTTGCTTATTTCAATCACAGTTCTGTCACCACATGATTACGACTCAAGAGAACTGTATTTTAAGATGTACTGAATATGCAGAGCGCTCGACTGCTGCCCAGATTAACTTTACAGATTTGTGCAACACACTATTTATATTGTTTAAGAAAGGTTTAGCTTGCTTTGAATTTCCTCTCTCAAGCTTATGTTCCTGTCTTGACATCTTTTCCTAAAATACCAGTGAATGGCATTTCATGATTCAACTGGACAATAACACAATCAAGCAATTGTGCGATGAACCAGATCATTGAAAGCAAATAAGACTTTTTTCCTCCCACAAATCCTTGAATAGCATCACCATTTAAACATCAATCTGCATGTGTGCTAATGTTTTCTGACATGGCATACTGTAAAGCCACTCATTCCCAAACACAACTCTGTCAGGGAGCTCTTCCAGCGCCTTGTCGGAAGTTTAAAACCGATCCAGTTGTAATCTGTAGCCGTCAAAGAAATGTAGACAGGTTTCTAAAGGCACTCTTTCTGTACGGCTGCTTAGATACTCCCACGGACCGCAGGCTGAGATTTTCATGCTTTTTAGTGTTGCGTGAATGGCCAGTAGCTTTCAGTCCAGATCTCATTTAGTTTTTTTTTTTTTTTTTTTGGTTTGCACTCAAGTAATTACTTCTAATCAATCCAGAGCTCTTCTTTGCTTCAGTGATGGGTTAATAGTGAATTTTCTGATTTAATCTTCTCCTCACATTGAAGCATCGGAGCGAGAAGCTGGAATTTCTTCAAAATCCCCATGAAATCCATAAATCACCTTCCTTTATTTGATTCTGTGATAACTGCAAACTAAAGACCAGAGCATAATTGAATCACAGACATGGAGGGGGGGGTGGGGGGGTAGGGGGGTGTTTTATTTAAATATCGCAGCATGACAGTGCCACGCTGGAGCACTGGATTTCTGCTGAAGTAAACCAGTGAACTTAAAAACCCTTTGCCCCGCAATGCATCACATCACTCTGAGAAGCGAGGATAAGAATAATCCATATTGTTGTATCTAGGCCAAGTAATCAACACTGCATAACTGGAAATGTTGACTGTTGCCAAGCTGTAAGCGTTTCAATTGGTACTACTGTGTATCTCCTCAAGTTTATGCTTGCTTCAGTCTCCCCACGCAGTTTTTTAGTGCTCTCCTAAGACACACATGTTTATCACAGATGGAATTTATCATGAATTAATAATAGGTTAAATAATACATGTCATATTTCCGGTGGATGTTTTAGATGAAAAAGTGCTGCATGTAGCGCATTATAATGGCACAGTAAGTATTGCAGCATGTGGTCTCCTTAGTAGATAAGTACAGTTAATGTTCACCAGTAACTTAATATTATCTTGCAGATGTTTGCGTCCTGCAAGTGTATCTTAGACAGTTGTGTGTGTGTTTTCTGTGGTAGTGTATGATGTTATGCCTGTACTGTATATAAAGTACTGCACATACAAAATTTATCATCATAAACCAGTACAACCCTTTTCATATAAGCACCCAAATACCCCAAGTGACACTTTACTATAATTTAAAGCTGCTATAATCAATATTTTTTACAATAACAATATATCAAATGACAATGTGCATCAGGAAATGGGTCGTTGATGGTGAAAAACCTTTAAAGAATTATCACCAAACTGCTGGAACCATGCAGAGGATTTTAGCATCTTTGAGCTTATTGTTTTGGTCAGCTTTGCAGTTTTGATGAATTCTGACTCGTGGTGTCATTTCTGGCTGCAGCAGGCAAAAAAAAAACAACCTAAAATTCACTCAACATTACCTGCCCAGCACCAAACTGCAGACTGACACAGTTAGCAACTAGCTGGTGAACATCTTCTTAGCAGCAGAAGAGAAACAGCTTGTTTCCAAAAGACCAATTGTCCATAATGTACCAAAATGAAAATCCCACCTATGACAAATGCAAAATGGTCTCCAGCTACTTTGGTCGTGTGTGTTTCGGTCTTAAGACTGAACACATGAATCCGTGCTGCTGAGTGCTGCCAGGTCTACAACTACTACTTGAAATATTTATGTTGCCTTCACCTGTTAGCCTGTAATTTCATCCTAATTAACAGGAAAAATCCAAAACCCTCTTCACGTCAGGAGTCGAAAGATGCCATGCCAAACTATTTCTTGGCCTTGCATAAACCACAAACTGTCATTTTCACACTTCACGTTTTGTACAGATTAAATTTAATGAAACATAATGACGTGTTAGTTTGTGAACTGTACAGGTGCTGACAGGAAGATTTTGTTATCTTCGGACAGAGCCAGTCAAGTTCTTGCCACTATTTCCAGTCTTTATGCTAAGCTAAGATAAGCTAAACTAACCGGTTGCTGGCTCCAGTTTATCAGTCCTCTCAAGTCTTTGCAAGAAAGACAAATATATAAATATATATACAGTATATATATAGTATTATTTCTATATGTCTTAGTATGGTTGTCTGTTTTACATTATAATGTATTGAGATTGCCTGTGGAGGCAGAAGGGAGGGGTTGTTCAGGTGGTGGGTGTCAGAGAGCAGAAATATCATGCTACTATATCAACTTGTTTTACTCATCAGCTGTGATACTTTTTTTTTGATATGAAAATAAAATTCAATGAAGAGAATTAGTTATGAAAAAAAAGAAATTATCAGTGAATTTAAATTAGAAAACTTCGTCATGATGAGCATGTTGTAAACTTCTGGAAACCACCGTGAGTTTGATGAATCTGGGCCAGAGAGTCCTCTGTGAGATGACATCAGTTGACTTTACAGTTCAAACACACACACACACACACACACACACACACACAAACATGTCCAGGGGCATTCACCCTTCATCTTCAGTGTTCTTGGTGGATGGAAGTAATTCAATTATGTCCCAGCACGTTTGTGTTTGTTTATCCATATCACAGCAAAGCCTGATTTAACTCTCCTGGGATATCACACGGGATGAGCAGATGTTGCGGAGACCTTTGTGACCCTGTAAGTCCCACAGTCATGATCTGTGTGTGTGCAGTGGCTTGCTGAGGCGTAGTAACACTGGCAGCTTCTTTTTCCCCTGCTTAGCCCTTGAGTAATGTGCAAACCGGAGCACGGGGGCTGGGCCATGAGGGTTCATTAACTCAGCTGAAGCCTGATGAGCTGGAAAACTCCTAACCTTCAATGTTTTAGCCCAGGCAAAGCTCCACAGAGGAGTGTAATTTCCCCCAGCATAGCAAATGGCCTGAGTCTACGCCAAGGCTTTCCCGCATTTATGACCACTGATTAACAGATGACA